CTTTAGAAATGCTTTGAAGATTTTTTTAGTGCATACTTTCACTTTTTCTGACAAACTACACTTTATTTTTGTCTTGATAAGAAGCCGACACTCTCTAATTTCTTGGAGGGTTATTTGAGCTTGAAAAAAGATCTCACTTCTGCTATAATATAAGGCTCTCAGTAGCATGTGAGCTTTAACTCAGATAAAACTCAATTTTTTTCAGCTAATCGTTAAAACAACAATCTAGATCTTCCTATATTTATGAATGGTAATGTACTCTGTGAGTCATCTACATTTGGTCTTTTAGGATTACCTCTTACTTCTGACATTTCTTGGAAACCATGTATCAAATCTATTGCAATCTTTTTTGCACATCTTTTTATTGTTGTTGCCACGTTCTTACTCCAAATTCTATTCTTTATCTCTATAAATCGCGAATCTAAAGTGGATCTTTGAATGATACCCTTTTTCTTTTAGATTATATATAATCTCCTATCATAGCAATATCCCATCTTCATTGATATCTACTTTTCATTTTAGCACTATCCTGATAAAATCTCTTACCATGCTCCGCACTGACATCACACATGTTTTTGGGAAAGAAGTCTAGGTGTGAATCTTTATGTACAGACAACAACCCAGTTTCTTAAGATTTTCAATGAGCATTGCAAGCAGTTGTTTGTAATTTGAGTTCTTCCAATTTCTTAGAAATCTACAAACTGCATCATGAAACGCATACCAACCTTTTCTCATGCTCTTTCAAGTTTCTCTGACTCAACATTGCTTTTCTTTGGGGTCCAATGAATATACCACTTTTTATCTTTGAATCAGATAGCTTTGGAAACATGAGATAAATTTCTTTTAAAGCTCTAAAAGCATTTTAAGCATTTAGAAATTGTTTTAACAATTGTTGTTTGATTATAAGTGATGGTAATAAAATTTTGTCCACTAAAGGCAGCTTGAGAACATTAAACAATCCTGACTGTAGTTTCACTTAGGAGGCCGTGACCACAATGAACTTTTTTGTAATGATCCTCAGCCAAGCTGTCCCATAAGCAAAGGAAAACATAAATACTTTGTGTGTCCTCCTTGCAAGTTAAATAAGAAAACAAGCATCTTGAAATCACCACAAAAATCCCACTTTGGCATTATCATTAGACTCCTTTCTTTTGAACTGAGTGCGCAAGAGGCAAAGATTGTTATATATTTCCATTGTGGAGCAACACTGAGACTCTGCATTGAGACTCTGTTTTGAGAATCTATAAACAGTCCTCTTTGTGTAGGTCATGCTCGAGCCTAAGAGATTTAAACAAACCAGCCGGAAATTTCAAATTCATTCTTGTTTCCAGTCCTGCATCTTTGCCTAGCTCCATTCCATTAGCCTTGATGAAGGAAACTTTTTACTTAGATCTAAATCTCTGATTTAGATCTAAGTAACTTCTAGTTTTTTTTAGTGCATACAACTCTAGACTTACTTTAATAAAACTTTGACATTGAATTCTCAAATGTCACATTTTCTCCATAATGGCTACCTAAAAAACCAAAAAAATTGTTTGCAAATATAAAAAGTTGATTTTGAAATTTACTGATAAGATACAGTTCAGTAAAAAGTTATAGACTTATAAAAATAGCTGCGGCTAAAACTTACGAAGATGTGCATCCTCTTCAAACCACCAGTTCAACACTGGTTTTAATAAGATTTTTTTCTTATAATTTAATAGACTTCTAATTCTTCTAATTTAATAGTAGTTTTAGGAAAAAAAGTAGTGGGTACTCATGGGAAAGTTACAAAATCGGAATAATGAAAATTACACAAAATGCATTAAAAACAATAAAAATAAAGTTATTGTTGTACTTTAGTTTGCATTATATATTTTAATACAAAGTATGAAAGAAAAGTATTTCATCATCAATACTAGATATAAGTCTTTTATTAAACCTGAATTAAACTCAGTTTTTAAATATCTCTAGCTCTTACCTGCCCCCTACTCTCCTTCTCCGAATTGTTAAACAAATAACATTCTTTTAGGAATACATTTTCAATACATTTTTATTAATGCAATTGCATTAATACAAATGTATTGAAAATGTATTTGATATTTTGTCTCGCCAATCATACATTGTCTCAAGTGAATTGATAGAATCTGTTAGTGATGGTAAACTTGCCCTAGTTACAAGTCTTTTGACAAAGCCTCTACACCATCACAAGCACTCTTTTCATGTGATGTAGCAAAAAAATGCCATTCTGCAGTTAATTTATAATGACATGTTCATGGTGACATAAATTAGATATGTTTTTGTAATTTTTGTATTGTGAACCTGCACCATCACTAAAATGAATGCAATGGTTAAAGTAAGGCATCAACTCTTTTGAATGTTTTATTACTTCATAAATTAAACAATGAGCTGAGTTTGTATTGTGTTGCAAATGATCTGAAATTATACAAACACTTTTACATTTTATCATGTTTTCTTGCATATAATAAAGAAAAAAAAAGATGCAATGTTGTTTGACTGTTGTTCCAACAGAAACCTTGTATTAAAAACTGTAATTTTCAGCAAAGTCTAGTAATACTAAAATATGATTACTGGTAATGTTATTTTTAGATGTTGCAAATATGCTGCTTGATTTTTGGCTATATAATGAGTATCTTAATTGGTCTATTTATTGATGAGCTTTTTCAATAAAATTATCTGCTGGAAGAGTTACTAGAACTATATCATGTTTTTTGTTGGTTTTACATCTGGTTAAAGGTAGTTTCTTCCATGTTATATTTATCAAACAAAGCAGTGTGATACTCTGTTGGTATCTGGGCAGTAATCGCAACTGTGTAGCATGCAGTCTCAATTTGTTAAGTCACATACAACTAATGTCAAGTGGTCTTTATAGTCTAAAATATCTGAATTTTTTAATGCTAAAGGTTTTGCACTCTGGTGGTACTCACAAACACATACTGAATGGAGAACTGAAGCACCTCCAATAGGAACACATCGCTTTGGTCTAAGTTCACAAAACCCAATCTTGACGTCAACAGAAATTTCATCTAAATTTCTGTTGACGTCAAGATAAAACTCTAAATAAAGTTCTTATATATTAACTAATAGAAGTCTTTTCAAAATGTTATTTTTTACCATCAACAGGCTATTGCTTGAATTAAAGTTTTCTTTTAAAATATCTCATTAAAATCATTATCTTTATATTGAAATGAATTGCTTCCGTAATCTTTTTTGTTTTTTACATACAACATTTTTCGACATTCTGTACAAAGCTTATGATCAAGTGTTAAATTTCTTCTCAACACCATACTGATTACGCGTATAGATTCCAAAAGATAAAAAAATGATAAAACATTAAGTAAGCCATTTTCTTTTAAAAAATCAAGTCAATTATTTTTAAATACTTTTTAATTTAATTTTGTGTTTGTTAAATGGATTATATCAAAAGCTTCCATCATACAAAGTCTCAAATCTATCCAAGTTGACCTTTTCATGGTGATTACAAATAGTTTGAATATGATTTACTTTAGATCCCTAGTGCTCAAGTTCTAGATCTTTTTCTATTAATTCCTCAAAACCTTTAATTTTTTTTTATTTTGGTAAATTTTATTTTATGACAATCTTTATTTAATGATTTTTTAATGCAATATCTAAAAAGATTTATTCAAATACAAGTTTTGAACTTAGGTATTCAGTTTTGGCACAACAAATAAATAGGAAATGATAATTTTTATATATAAAATAAAGATATTAAAAGATTATTTGCTTGTCTTTTATGTCACTTTTTATTGACATTTATGGACATTATGGGGCAGGTAAGAGCTAGAGCTATTTAAAACTGAGTTTAATTCATACTTAATTAAAGACTTATTTCTAATACTGATGATGAAATACTTTTAAAATCTTTCATACTTTGTATTACAATATATAATACAAACTAAAGTACGTCAATAACTTTATTTTTATTGTTTTTATTGCATTTTGTGCAACTTTCATTGTTCCGATTTTGTAACTTCCCCATGAGTACCCACTACTTTTTTTTCTGAAATCACTATTAAATTAGAAGAATTAAAAGTCTATTGAATTAGAAAAAAAAAAATCATATTAAAATCAGTGTTGAACCGGTGGTTTGAAGAGGACGCACATCTTCTTAAGTTTTAGTCGCAGCTATTTTTTAAGTCTATAATTTTTTACAGAATTGTATCTTATCAGTTAACTTCAAAATCAATTTTTTATATTTGCAAACGATTTTTTTGGTTTTTTAGGTAGCCATTATGGAAAAAATGTGACATTTGAGAATTCAATGTCAAAGTTTTATTAAAGTAAGTCTAGAGTTGTATGCACTAAAAAAAGCTAGAAGGTTTTCTGAAATTTTGCTTTAATAATATAAAGCTTCAAAGTATGAACAAAACATGTTTTTGCGACTGAAATTTTTATTTTAGAAAAAATCAGAAATTTCAAATGACCATACCTCATAAACTGCAAAAGATTTTGTGCTAAAATTTTCAGGAATTGCTTTTCTAATTTATATTAACTAACCCGTTAAGTTTCATAAAAATCTGAGGTGGTCCATTTTGAAATCCTAAAATTTTGGTCCATTTGGCATGGAATGACCAAGTTAGAGTACTTATTAATGATGCATTTTTCTATCTACAATAATCATGTTTTTATCTGTCTGGTAACCCGCTACCTTTTCTTTCCTCATTTAAGCCTAGGCTGTGAGAAAAGCTCAATAACAACCTCCCATGAAATGTATTGTGAGGCACTGATAATGCATGGGTTCTCAGTTGTGGGTAAAGTTAAAATGTTTTAACTTTAAAACAGTCAATGATACAGAAAATATTTCTACATTTCTAGAATTAACAGAGAAAATTAATTAATAAGTGAATTAAAAATTTCAAATCAGCTAATATTTTGTAAATATTTGTAATATTTTGTAATAAAATTGAATGGTATTTTTTAGTGTTTTTAATAAATAACCTAATTATAATTTTGTTCATGAATAATTTTAAATATTTAAATATTTTTACTTATATATTTATGAATATTTTAAAAATGTTTTTATTTGTAAGGATGCTGTAAAAATTATGGCTAAAGATCTGGTCAGAACACGTCGATATGTTAAAAAATTTATACTCATGAAAGCCAATCTTCAAGCTGTTTCATTGAAAATACAGGTATTTTTTATAATTAAATAATGTATATACAGTATTAGAGGCTAAAGTAATACTGTAGTATACAGTATTATATTACTTTAGCCTCAAGTTCTTTTTGTGCTTTAACCTCTCAAGGTCTTTTCTTGCTTTAGCTTAATAAATTCTTTTGACTTTTTCCTGCAAATAACAAGAAGTTCCAATTATTAAAATAAATTATTAAGATGTTTCATTTTTTTATAAATTATAATAAGGCTGCAAGCAACCACTCTTAAGTTTGGAAATACTAGAAAACAAAGAATAAAGTTGAATAGCAAGGAAATTGTTGACAAAACTTAAAAAGTTGTAGGTTGTATAAGTCAGGAAAACACAAAGATGGGAGAGAGTTTCAAAGCATTAGAGTGCAGTAAAAAAAACTAGATTTTCGTTTTTTGAAAAGTTTTTTTGGCCTGAAAAGCTAGATACAGTAAAAGGATGTGACTTGATGCAGAATGATAAATTAAGCAAGAATGAGTTTTGCTTGATGGAATATAAGTCGTTTGAAGAAAAGACAATTATAGTATTTGTAGAAAAGAGAAAGATGCAACCTTATGATGATGGAAGAGTGGCTCAAGCTTGGCAGATATAGTGGACCCAGCTATATTTACAGGGAATTTTTAAATTTTGTCTAGAAGAGATAAAGCATCATTAGATAAACCAGCCTAAATAAAATATATCAAATCTATTTATCAAATCCATTGCAAATTTAGCATCTGCTAAAGTTGCATCTCTTTATCGAGCTCGACACTTTCTTATTCTGAATTCTATTCTCTATCTCTATAAATCTCAAATTCGGCCTTGTATGGAGTACTGTTGCCAAATCTGGGGCGGATCTTCTAATAATGCCCTTTCTCTTTTAGACAAGGTGCAAAAATGCATTGTAAACATAGTTGAACCTGCTCTTGCAGCCAACTTTCAAGCATTATCACAGTGTCGTAATGTTACTTTTTCTGTGACTGTTTCTAAGTGCTCCAAAATCTCTTATTCCTCTAGTTTTTTTTCTTGAACATCAGTTCTTTGGAATTTGCTTCCTTCATCTTGCTTTCCTGATTCATATAATTTGCAATCTTTTAAGTCCTTGGTTAATCGTTATCTTGCTCTACAATCTTCATCTTTTCTCTTCCAGTAACTTCCAACACTAATTAGTGGTTGCTTGCAGCCTCGTTGGAAGTGAAGATGTTTTTTTAAAAAAAAAATATGACAACAGTATCCCATACAGGGACATATAAGAGATTTGTAAAGGTAAACAATGAAATCAGCAGTAAGAAATTAGCAAAAGCACTATAAAAGATAAGCAACCTTAGCAGATGTTAACTTCACTATAGGTTGTATATTTTGTTTCCATGAGTGGTCAGTAGTGAATGATTGTCAAAGAAGACAGTGGACTTAGTGAGTTGTCATTAATCAATGTAGGAATCTTAACAGTATTGCAGTAGTTGGTTGCAGTAGTTGGTTGCAGTAAATTGTAAAACTGAGTTTTGTTGGAGTTAAAAGTTTACTACAAGCTCCAAGCTGTTACAGAAGTAAAGTCAGATTCAAGATGGATTGCCTGCTTTGTGATTGAAAAGAAAAAAACTTTTTGCCGAGATAGGGGTTAAAGTTGAGTCATCAACAAATAGAACCACTTTAGATATAAGATTCTTGGGAAGATCATTAATACATATGAAGCAAGCTTATGAACTAGATAAGTATACTAAACCTTATCAAAAGCTTTTGATATGTCAAGTGCAATAGCCCTTTCCTCACTGTCTCCATCTAATGCATTATAGAATTTGCTATTGTTTCGCAGTGGAAGCGCAGATGATCAGTATTGAGAGGTGGTATTCTGAAAGGGGAGTATTATTTAGTGATTAAGTTAGAGTAAAGTAAGTGTTGTTTAAGTTAGATTTAAGTAAGTGTTGTTTTAGTGTTCTGTAAGTTGTGTTAGTTATTGTGTTTTGTGTTTGCAGTGTTCTAGATATTAAAGTTTTATGTCATTTAATGTCTTTATTTGTATGAATCTGTGTGTTCGTAAACACTTTTTGTGTTGAATGCAATGTATTTTAGTAGAATTGCACTAAGCAGTGAACGCCTTAGAGTAGCATAACAAGTTAAAAGAGTGTAGCAGATTGAGATAAATGTACAAAAGGACAAATGTGCAGGTGAGAACAAAGAGCCTCTTAGAGGAGAAATAATGAAAATTAATCATAGTTATATGTATTAAACATAAACATAGTTATATGTAGTTAATCATAGTTTTTTATAGTTAATTGTAATTAATCATTGTTGTATGTAGTAAATATAAACAGAAATAATGAACCATAATTGAGGAAATAAATGTCATTAATTGTTGTGATAAAAAATTATTAGTGTAGAGCGTAAATGTGATGCATAAGAGTGTCAGTCGTGGAGCATGGATACCATATGTTTTGTGTTATTAGCAAAGTAAACATACAATATAGATGCGTATCATGGATGTCACACCAATGATATGGACTCTGTGATCTGATGTGGTTCAAAATGGTAATATTGATATGGTTAGATAGAGTTGTTTGTGTTATGTTTAATTTCCATTTAGTCAATATGTTTTAATGCGGTTCTTTGTCTTATATTTATATTGAGACTAACTTTTGTGTATTTAAATACAAATATATGGCGTGATTTTAAACTTTATTTAATTTATACAATTATTAGTAAAATAATTCATTTCAAATTTAGTTTTAACTTATATGGTCTATTTTCCCCTTGTTGCCATGTGTACTTATAAGTCCTTCCCCCCCTCCTTCTTCTAAGTCCTTCCCTCCTTAAAAAGTAGGTATGTTTTTGAAATCTCCAAACCCCCCCCCCCCCCTCCACACACAATTTTTTTTTTCAATGAAAAAGTTTATGGTAAAAAAAGGTGGAGGAGGTACCTTAGACACTTTATACGACCCAAAAGCTCTTTGTTTGCAGGGCGCCCGCAGGATTTTATGTTGTTCTAGATAGAACACTTTCATACATTTAGCATAGGTATACATAAGTTATAACTAATACAAGAGTCTGAATACAAGAGTTTGTTTTGTTATAATTTAATAAAAAACTTCTTCTATTGATATAACTCTATTATTAATTTTTCAAATAGTATTTCAAGGGATACCCTCGTTATCAAGAATTAATATACTTGATAACCTTATTAAGTATATATATTTTTTTAAGTACATTTGATAACGATCTAAACTCTCTTAATATAATGTATTGAAAAATTAATAATAGAGTTATATCTATAGAAAAAGTTTTTTATTTAATTAATTATTACAAGTATTCACACTTGAACCAATATAACTCTTGCAATGTTATCGTTTATATTTATAAGAAAAATAATAATTTAGAAAAATAATATTTTATAATAATTACATTAGCTTTATATAATTAACAGATAATGCAATGTCAAAAAAATAACAGTAATATTTCTTACAACATACTAAACAATAAAAAAATTAATGTTAAGTCATTTAATGATCTTTTATTTTATATTATCAACTTTGAACATTAATTAAAATATAATACTATATTATAATATATTACTATTATAAATGTTTTTTATTGGGACAAAATATCTTCAAAGTCAAAGTTTTGATTGCTTAGACTGAATCAACATTGCTCAGTATCAAAATTGCTGCAGCTGATGTTCACAATGCTAAATATAAACATGTGTTTTTGCATTCTAAAATTGCTAAAGAATATCAACAGAAATCAAATAACCTGAAGTATATGGATCAGTTCGAAAGAGTGCCAGACCCTTTTATTCAAAAAATTATTTTGAATGAATTGAAATGTTTGCCTTGCACATTAATAATTGATCAAATAACTACATCACAGAAAACCTTGAAACATTGAATTGTTCAACAAAAAGGAAAGCAAAAAACTTAGCAATTTATAGTGGAAAAAGTGTAGCATTTCATAGTATTATAATCTTTATTTAAAAACATGAACAATGCACAAGTTACTCCAGAGAAATATCAATAAAATAAATATTTTTAACATTGTTCCTGCTTTTGTTTTTTGAAAACAACAATCGCCTAGACTTTTTTTGAAAAATTTGCCTTAAATAAAATTTTTGCAATTCAAAAGCAAAAGCAAAGTCAAAAGGTTTTTGTTTTCAGAAATAAATTTTTATCATAATAATGATAAAGATTTATTTGGTTATTTTATTGGCTTATTGGTTTATAAAAAATTATTTAAATCTACTTTCTCTAAACTCAATAGATTTTTTTGCACAGAAAAAAACATTTTGGTTGTCAAAAGAGTAGTTTTCGCAAAAATACTTCTTGATAAGGGTTTCAAAATTTTCTCTTCCTTAGGACTTTTTTGCATTTGAACTAAACACACTTAAATTAACAAACACACTTTAAGTTAACAATATAATGATTTAAGTTAAATTATTTCCTTTTTTCAAACATAATTTATTTTAAAAACTCATGATTTTAAGCAAAGCATTATCTTAATTTAGAACTAGTTCTAACTTTTCTAACTTTTCTTTCTTTTTAAAATTGATAGAACTGAAGATAAAAAGAATGAAGTTTGAAGATAAAAACACTGTTATTTTATCGTTTTAGCCATTGCTACTATATTTAGGCTTTTAAAGCAATGTTCTATAGTTAGCAACTATTAGCCAATCAGGAACCACTAAACATTGCTATCACCAATCATGTTGTTACAATTACAGAAAATAACCAACTATAATGGCTGATAAAAAGATTGTTTTAGTACTGAAACATCATTATTTATTAAACTTCTAAACATGTTTTCTCAAAAAGCTACTAACAAATGATTTACATTTTTACAGTTATAGAATGTGAAAATTGACTACTTTTAAATTCAAAAAAAAATTCATGGGATGTGACAAAAGGTTTTAGGTGACCTTCAGGGTACCCATGAGCATCAGACATCACTTTTTTACATTGATTTCTTGCAATAATTTAAAAGGTATTTTAAATTATTGCAAGAAATAACCTTCTTGTTATAAT